CAAACACTTTAAGACAGAAACTGGTCCAACCAAAAGACAAAACACAGAGTCACAAACAAAACAATGTGTTTACTCCATTCAGTGTAGTGAAGACTGCAGTGAACACCACACTGGAGAAACAGAACGGACACTTCACAAGATGATGAACCAACACAGATGAGAGAATAACACAGGACCTCAGTCTGCTGTACATCTCCACCTAAAAGAACCTCAGTCTGCTGTACATCTCCACCTAAAAGCCACAGGCCACTCATTTGAGAACAGATTTTGGCCAGAGAAAAGAATTGGTTTGAGAGGGGAGTGAAAGAAGCCATTTTTTGTTTAGAAAGAGAATCCTTCTCTAAATAGAAATGGAGACTCAGACACCATCTACCTCCTATTTACAACTCCATCTTCAAACCTAAATCAAAACAAACAAGAGAACAACAGATGTATTCAGGTCAGGTCCAGAGGTGTGGAAGCTCCATTATGGCCCTGAATGATTCTGCTGATATGTCCCCACACTCAGTGAAGATGAATAGGCCGAGCTAACAAATAGAAACTGTAAACAAGTGTGTGTGTTAGTTTCAGAGTAGTTTCAGTGTAGTTAGCTCCTCCCTGCAGACAGATATAAGGAAGTGTCCAACAGCGTCTGAACACAACTGAACAAACAGTTTGAATGAGCTTTTGTGTCGACAAACTGAATTTTCTCCTTGCCATGAATTCTACCTGGACGACTGAGGGATTCTTCACAGATTTGTCATAACAATACCAGAAACAGGATCTAAACCAGGTCTAAAACCAGACTGAAAGAGTCTAAAACCAGACTGAAGGAGTCTAAACATGCTCATTCCAAACATCTTTATACAGGTGAATCTAAACTAAAGCTGATCTCATTTGCAGTGAATCCTGATGAGCTGTGATGGAAGTGCTGAAGCTGAAGCATGATCCTCCACGTGTGAATCCGGTGTGAAGTTTAAAAGGGAGAACAGGCAACTCGTGATCACAACTTTGAACCCGACAGAGAAAAGAGCTTTTATACAACTTTTATTCAGAGATTTAAAACACAAAACACATGTGGTGGGCTCATGTGTGGTGGTAATTGAAGTGTGAGTTTGGGGTAAGGTAGAGACAGTTTAAGTCCTGGTTTAGTCCTGGTTCAGATCTAGTTCAGTCTCATTTTAGTCCTGGTTCAGTCCTGGTTTAGTTTCCCCCGTGGAGCTTGTGGTGGAGTCTTTAAGGTAACAGTATTTTTAGTCCCAGTAAAGGTCAAGCTGTTTTCTTTTTTCCTCCAAATGTCTGAGAGAGCCTGGGGTCAAAGGTCAGTCTCCACACAGGAGCTGAAACCAGGTCAGGTCAGGACTAAACCTTCTCTGTGAAGAACAACCAAGATGTTTATGGTCTAACAAAAGGGATATCTCTTATGAGGTGTAATGGGAGCCAACATGAACACAGGCACAAGTCCTGCTTTAGTCCATATTTAACCACAAACAAAACAACATTACACACAAGCACACACACATTTACTCAAGCAACTGTTTTAACTAGACACTGTAACTCCCAGCCTCAATGAGCTTCATTTGGCTGGAGATGAACGCTGTGACGTCCACTTCTTTACACCCTCTATGACAGGGGTGTCAAACATACGGCCCGGGGGCCTGATCCAGCCCTCCAAGACCTTTAATCTGGCCCTCGGCTGATTTTCTACTAAAATATTTTGATTTATTTTTCTATTAAAATATTGTCAATTTTGTGTGGTGCTGAGCATAGCAGCGTCTCCAGTGTCTCTGTACGTGGCCCCTCCCACCAGAGCAGCACAAAATGAAGACTTGTCTCTTTCCAAACGCTCTTAAAGGACGATCGTTTTGACTGTTGACCGTGACACCCTCATCAGAAAAAATGTCCAACATGAGAAAAGTGGAGCCGAGTGCAGGATTTTACAACAAAAATTGACTTTCCTATTCCTATTTACATACAAGTTCATGTTAAAACATTGTGTTGAAATTAAATTTTTTTTAAAGTTTCAGGTAGATCATAATATTATAATATTTTGTAAAAGAAAGAGTTCATCAATTAAAACAGATTTCTGTGATAGATTTGTGTTTTCTCTGCACAAATATTTGAACTTATTGTTATTTTTGGGGTTTATATGCCATGAGTTTTCTGATCCAGACCCTTTGGGATCAAAGTAGGTTGGATACAGCCCCCGGATCAAAATGAGTTTGACACTCCTGTTCTATGATCTTGGGTTAAACTATCATTTATATTTACAACACGTATTATCCCACCAACTTACTGTTTTTTAAGGACTATAAGTCTCTCCGGAGTTTAAGTCACACCAGCCAAAAAATAATGAAGAAGAAAACATATATAAGTCACACTTTTGGGGTAATTTATTTTATAAAATCAGAGAGCAGGAGCAGACATTTCCTGTTGAAAGTCAAGTTCTAGTAATAACAATAGAAGAGAGAACAACAGACTGTTAACGTCACATATGAACAGTTCTTCAGATAAATATAACATAAACAACAGAACAGAACAAGTTTATCAAACTCTTCATCTCACTCCAAATCACTAAATCCATTAAATTCTTCATCCTCGGTGTCACTTCTGAACAACTCGGCCTCGACCTCCGGAGGTAAACAGAGCGCCTCTTCCTCTTCTGTGTCGCTGTCGTCAGACTCAGCATTATTCGAGTCTTTCTGAATCCCGACAGGATGGTTTCGGTGTCACTGAAGTCCAGACTTTGTCCATCCATCCAGTGACTTCAGGAAAGATTCATGGTGCATCCTCCCGGAGTCACAAGTTGTGTCACTCCAAATTTTCTTTCTGCTGCTCGATTTCCATTTTCATCTGCAGATTTCACTTGCATCTTATAATCTGCAGAATCTGATTTTGTTTTTGGGGGCATTTGCTGTTCAGTCTTCTCAGTCGTCTTTATAAGTTTGTTTAAATGTTAGATTGTTCAGTGGTGCAGAAGTAATGGTGCGATCGACTGACATGATACAGACAGAACAGAGGCTCTTTCTGCAGGAGACATGTGCAGTAGAGTGAAGTGACAGTGGTACAGGAGGAACAGGAGCAGCAGATACTCGCACACAAGACTAAAACCTCTCGAGACTGTCAGAGTGAAAATTTTAATATATAAGTTGCACCTGAGTATAAGTTGCAGGAAACACCCAAATCATGAAAAAAAGTGACTTATAGTCTGAAAAATACAGTAAAGTGAAATTCTTCCACACACACTTTAAGTTTCCTCTTCGTCTGTTGGACAAATGGAGCTAAAGTTGATTTACAAACCCAGTCCACTCCGGGTATTCTAAAATCTTCAAGTCTTGGAGCTGCGTCGTGCATGTTCACCACCAGAGGGCTCCATCGTTGGCGCTGCTGCGGGTGCTCGCTCTCTCTCTCCCCCTCAGTCTCATCAGCTCCAGGACGTTCGAGGCGTAAACGTCCCGAAGGTTTAGCCCCGCTCCTCCGCTCCCGAGCCCCGCCTCCGCCCCGCCCACCGAGCCTCGAGCCAACCGTTTTATCATCTCACTGTGACGCAGCGCCGCCTCCTTCACCTGGAAACAGATAAGGTCAGAATCATTCAAGACAGTCAGTCGTCAGAATCATTGACTGTTTAAAGAAGATTTAATCTATGTTCAGACTGCAGGGTGATAGATACATGTGTCTGATTGTCACTGTGTAAGGCTGGTTTAGGATTACTTTATGATTGCTTATTGCTTAAACATGTTAATCAAATAATATGTGCATGAAGTCAGAAAGGAATAGAAAGGTCAAAATAAATAAAGGTCAATGTGATGCTGCTTCCTCTTTGTGCAACCTGCTTCTCTAGAGTGTAACACACAGAGCAGACTGGGTAAAAGCTTCGTTCATTGATTCTGTAGAAATCCTCCACATTTTTCAGCCCTCTGATATTGTTGTCCTTTATTTTTTCCTTGTGTCTTTTTTACCTCACATCTTTGTAAAGTGTTGTAGACGTGTGTGTTCTGGATTACAGGTGTCGAGCTCAAACTTCATAAACTTGATGTCACTGTCAGATGAGGCAAAAGTCCATAGAGATGTTTTAGATCAGGGGTCTCCAGCCTGTAGCCCGGGAACTTCCAAGCAGCTCGCCAAGACATTTCTGAATTACACGTATTGTCCTAAATAACTCAAATGTAATGAATGAAATGCTTATTATTACTGTAAATCTATCATTCTGATGCCTGACTCTGCACTGCAGAAAGTAATATCAAGATAAATTAAAATGACTTAAACTAAGAACATTTGACTTTGAGTCGATTCAACTTGGTAAGTAAAATGATCTACCAGTGGAATAAGTGTGTTTTTCTTCATTCAAGCAACATTAGATTTAGTTTCCTATTTTAAGTGCAAAGGGTTTTGTTTTTCTTATTTTAAGTGTAGCAGATGTATTTTCATATTTTAAGTATGAAAAGTCCTGTTCCACTGGCAGATCATTTTACTTGTTTAGTGAAATTCATTCAAATTTTAATAAAACTTTCTTAATTCAAATCATTTTAACTTGGCTAGATTTTGGTTTTTACATTGTGTGCACTCATAAGTAAAAAATGGTTTATGTTTTATTTCACTGCACCCCATTTAAGTCTTGCCATGGCTCTTACACAGACCTGAGCTTCGTGCAGCTCCGGGGCCACATACGGCCCTCTGGTCCACTCTGACCGGCCTGTTTAAGCTCATTTAGAATTAAAAAATAAACATATTTTATCATTTGACCTCATGCTTGGACCAAAGCTGCATTACTTTTATTTTAGAAATGTTTTTTAAATTAAATTTTTTGTTCAGCAGTCTCACTTTTTCATTTCATTGTCAGAACATAAACTCTTCCCAGTCTGAGCAGCTCATCACAACAATGACATTTACTGCTTTTTATAAAGAAATACAATGAATATTCGGCAGAACTGAGTTAAGCATTTTGCAAGATTTAGCAAGAATTGTCTACCCCTGCTCTCATCTATAATTTATTTCCTGTGACCGCTAAATTTGTAGCTCTCCGGAGTTTTCGCTTTGTGAAAGTAGCTCACCCGAGGAAACAGGCTGGAGACTCCTGCTTTAGAACAACCCCACATTTGGAATACTTCAGAGTTCTTAAAACTATTCCTTCTCTCTGTGTATCTGACCCCATGTAAAAACTACTATGCAGAAAAAAGTACAAGGAAACAGTGTGTGTCAAGACAGACTCCACTTGTCAATCACCACTTTAATCTGACAGAGAAATACCGAAAAGCATCAACTCTCAGCTCACTCTCTCTTTTCTCCTTTCTACTGCGGTAGAAACACACAAATACAACTTGAATGTGTAGATCAGAACAACTCCAGTGAAGGTACATGAACTTTAAGAACACAGTGGAGCTGGATACCATCTCATGACATCAGCAGGTGAAACAGAGCATTTTCAGCTCTTTTTTCTTGCACTGTACAACTTTATTTGTGGAGGGTTTATCACCTGCTTCTCTCTATGGTTCCACAGTATGGCATTACACTTATTTATCTCTAGGGAGACAGCAGGTGACACCACAGGGCCAAGTTACATGTCAGATCTGTGGAGAGGCGAGCCCACTCACAGTAAGAATGCAAGTTTAGGTCAATAAAAAGGCATGTTATTGAGGAAATGCAAGATGAACACGTTTAATGTCCCACCGAGACACTCCAGACAAAACAATAACATCTCCATGGAGACAAGCAGGTGAGCGACCCTCCACTGGAAAAGTTACACAGTGCACCTTTAAAGGTTAATGTTGTGTATTTAGAGTGTTTCAGTTATTCTCCTGTGTTCAAGATGACATCATTTTGAAAAATCACATTTTCCCTCATCTTTAATGACAGGTGCTTGACAGGAGCATCTGTACCTTGAGTGACAGGTGCGTGACAGGAGCATCTGTACCTTCAGCGACAGGTACGTGACAGGAGCATCTATACCTTGAGCGACAGGTGCGTGACAGGAGCATGTTTACCTTGAGCAGCAGGTGCGTGACAGGAGCATGTTTACCTTGAGTGACAGGTGCGTGACAGGAGCATGTTTACCTTGAGCGACAGGAGCATGTTTACCTTGAGCGACAGGTGCATGACAGGAGCAAACAGGTGCGTGACAGGAGCACGTTTACCTTGAGTGACAGGTGCGTGACAGGAGCAGACAGGTGCGTGACAGGAGCAGACAGGTGCGTGACAGGAGCAGGTTTACCTTGAGTGACAGGTGCGTGACAGGAGCAGACAGGTGCATGACAGGAGCAGGTTTACCTTGAGTGACAGGTGCGTGACAGGAGCAGACAGGTGCGTGACAGGAGCAGGTTTACCTTGAGTGACAGGTGCATGACAGGAGCAGGTTTACCTTGAGTGACAGGTGTGTGACAGGAGCAGGTTTACCTTGAGTGACAGGTGCGTGACAGGAGCAGACAGGTGCATGACAGGAGCAGGTTTACCTTGAGTGACAGGTGCGTGACAGGAGCAGACAGGTGCGTGACAGGAGCAGGTTTACCTTGAGTGACAGGTGCATGACAGGAGCAGGTTTACCTTGAGTGACAGGTGCGTGACAGGGGCAGACAGGTGCGTGACAGGAGCAGGTTTACCTTGAGTGACAGGTGCGTGACAGGAGCAGACAGGTGCGTGACAGGAGCAGGTTTACCTTGAGTGACAGGTGCGTGACAGGAGCAGGTTTACCTTGAGTGACAGGTGCGTGACAGGAGCAGACAGGTGCGTGACAGGAGCAGGTTTACCTTGAGTGACAGGTGCGTGACAGGAGCAGGTTTACCTTGAGTGACAGGTGCGTGACAGGAGCAGGTTTACCTTGAGTGACAGGTGCGTGACAGGAGCAGACAGGTGCGTGACAGGAGCAGGTTTACCTTGAGTGACAGGTGCGTGACAGGAGCAGACAGGTGCATGACAGGAGCAGGTTTACCTTGAGTGACAGGTGCATGACAGGAGCAGGTTTACCTTGAGTGACAGGTGCGTGACAGGAGCAGGTTTACCTTGAGTGACAGGTGCGTGACAGGAGCAGGTTTACCTTGAGTGACAGGTGCGTGACAGGAGCAGACAGGTGCATGACAGGAGCAGGTTTACCTTGAGTGACAGGTGCATGACAGGAGCAGGTTTACCTTGAGTGACAGGTGCATGACAGGAGCAGGTTTACCTTGAGTGACAGGTGCATGACAGGAGCAGGTTTACCTTGAGTGACAGGTGCGTGACAGGAGCAGGTTTACCTTGAGTGACAGGTGCGTGACAGGAGCAGACAGGTGCATGACAGGAGCAGGTTTACCTTGAGTGACAGGTGCATGACAGGAGCAGGTTTACCTTGAGTGACAGGTGCATGACAGGAGCAGGTTTACCTTGAGTGACAGGTGCATGACAGGAGCAGGTTTACCTTGAGTGACAGGTGCGTGACAGGAGCAGGTTTACCTTGAGTGACAGGTGCGTGACAGGGGCAGACAGGTGCGTGACAGGAGCAGGTTTACCTTGAGTGACAGGTGCGTGACAGGAGCAGACAGGTGCGTGACAGGA